ACTTAGTGAATGAGGCCCATCCATATGATGGAAGAAAATCTGTTTTATTTGAAGTACACCAATTTTAATATTAATCTCCTATAAAAATACTTTCAGGAACACCCTGGTCACATATCTGAGCACCATGACCTTGTCAAGTAACCAAACTACCTTCATACTCTTTCTCACTGGTCAAGCAATTTTATTCCAATGTGCTTAATATTCTGTTAATGTTTCTTGCACTAGAACTGGGTGAGCTTCTTGGATCTGCAAATCTAACTTTCCAAGTCTAACAATGTTTCAGTCCTTTCTTCAAATAGTTTTTCTGTCCCCTTCTCTGTCCCTCACCTTCATGGAGTCAAATTACCCAGGATAATGTGAGTTCAAGTTGTCCCACAGCTCACATATTTCATTGCATATTTGCTCTCTTCCCTACCTCCTTGTATCTCTCTCTCTCTGATAGTTTCTATGGCTAATGCTTTTCAACCCATTAAACCTTTTCTTCTGAAATGTCTACATTTCTAGTGCTCTCATGTGATATGCATTTGTATTTCATCTCAATGGTATTACAGTACTCAATTGTAAAAATGTGGAGATGTACACACATATACATATGTACTTACATACTACTATCACCCAGGTCTCAAGTTTATGAATAAACAGAATTGTAATAACATTTTTAGTGATCTACTGTGTTAATTCTGGGTCACTTTTTATTGATTATTCTTCTCATTAGAATCATATTTTCTTGCCTCTCTTCACATGCCTGGTAATCTTTGATTGAATGTCAGACAATGTGAATTCCACCTTGTTGAGTGTTGGGAAGTTTTTCAGTAAGTCTTACTTAGCTTTGTACTAAGATGCCATAACATGATCAGGAAATCCTCTGAATCTCTGGGACTTGGTAATATAATTTCTTAGGTGAGTTCAGAGCAGTACTCAGGTTTGGGCTAATTCCTGGGATAAAAACTTGCTGAGTACTCAATTCCTCATGAATTATGTCTTTTTCAGTCCATTTGTGGTTACAGTCATAATTCCCATCACCATGTGTACACCAGACACTCTTTCCTCTAGTTGTGCCTGGTTCTTGGCCTGGCCTTAGCAGGCACTGATACTTAACTGGATACTCAACAGAGACCCTATGAAGAACTCAAGTGTTATCTCCCAGTGGAAGATAGAGAGAGCTCTTCTCTGGTCTCCTACCTTTAAATTCCAACTGCCTGTTTCCCCTGACTCAGCTCCATTTCGTTCCATGGGGGAGGCCACCTAGCTCCACTTCGGCTCCTTCTGCTCCTTCTGGAACTGTACCCCAGCCAGGAACTCCTTATTGCCCCTCTCATTTGTTTATTTCTCTTTCAGGATTGCTTTTTTTTTTTTTGGCTTCTTTAAAATGTTGATTTGCATCTTAAAATTATCTGTAAAAATTATTTCAGATGGGAAAACAAACAAGTTCCAGTTACTCAATCTGGACCAAAAATCAGAAGTCCTTGCTCATTCTAGCACTATCTCGCCTTCTGAGGAGATAGAGCACTATCTCGCCTTCAATCTCTCTCTAAAGGTTGCCACTTTACATCTCCCTTTACTTTTTTCTTAGAAAAATAAAATCCTGTAACACTTTTTTTGGTTAATCATTCATATTATCTAACTCTGGTTCTTACAATCTTTGCCAACATTGGGCAAAATTCTGGGTCAAAATTCTGTTACAGGATAATAAATACAGCTAGGTGCTTTGTCAGAAGTAGATGCTGGAATGCCGGCATCAAACAGCAAGGATATTGGCCTATTCTGATAAAGGATGCACTCTCAGTGTCTCAATCAGAGGTGGCAACATAACTGGCATTTAATAAATGTGAAACAGACGAAATCAGACATAGTTACTACCTAGCATCTTTCTTCCCTCTCTCTCCCCAATATGCTTTGATGAGCTCATATAAGCCCACAATTCAGCTATCACTCAAATCTGTACCTCTTGCGGGTATCCCACAAGGGCGCTGGTTCTAATCCTGGTAGCCCCACTTCCCATCCAGCTCCCTGCTTGTGGCCTGGGAAAGCATTCAAGAACGGCCCAAGGCCTTGGGACCCTGCACCCACGTGGGAGACCTGGAGGAGATTTCAGGCTTCTAACTATAGTGCAAGAAATGACTGACCAGTGAAGAGAAGCTAATCTGGGGCTATTTTTTTACAATTATTTGGGAAAGTTACCTGGTTTGAGAAGAGTGATTAATAAAGTTTATATAATCTCACAGCATGTTAATCAAAAGATATTTTCAGTTCTACAAATACCCAATAAATACATATGCCCATCACAAACACTGAACCCTGGATATCACTGAACTACATATGCAGACCTAAACTGACATCCTACTATCTCTGTTGCCAAACACCTAACAATAGCCATGTCACTTGATTTTGATACTAACATAATTTAAAAACAAAATATGCAAAGAGATTCTTAGGTGTCATGGAAGGCCATTCGAAGCTCAGAGGATACTTTATGTAAGGCACACAGACTCAACTTACAGTCATTTACTTATTCATTCATAAAGCATCTATTTCTATGCCCAAACCTTGGGTCAGGCTCTAGGTACTCCAGAAAGGACTCTTTTTGCCTGCAGAAGCTCACAGAAGCAGAGGGTCATGTAAAGAAGTCAATGTCATGAGCAGTCATGGCAGACACAGGGCCCATGGCCAGCAGCAGGAGGGGAGGACATCTTCAGATCAGCAAGGAGGAAGGTGGGGAGGAAGAGCCCCATGCCAAGTGGTGACATCTGAGCTCAGCCCATCCTCAGGGGGTTCACCATTGGGTAGAAACCCTCCACTCCCCCCCTCCCTCTGTTGAATAAGCAATATCTGTTTGATATCTACAATTCTAAAACTCTAAACACTTTCCAAGGATGCATTTATTTTCTAACCAATTGGTGTGAAATCTGTCCTGAATGGATGAAAGGCTCTCAGTTATTGATATTTTCCCCATTGGTTAGGGAATCCTGGTTAATAATTTCATTGCGCACCCAGCACCTACACCAGGAACCAAGCCATCCCTGGCTGCTGCTCCTCTTTCACTCCTTAAACCCAGCTGATCACCAAGCTATTTCAACTGTAGCCCTCAAATACAAATCCTACTTGCTCCTTCCCCTTCCACTCCCTTCACTGCCTCAGCTAAAGCTTTCCTCATCTCAGCCTTGACATCCCAATAATCCTCCCCTCCTATGTGCCTCAAACAGTGCTCCTCAGGATGCTGTGTCCCCATGGCCAGCCAGCTTGACTGTTCTTAAATGGACACTACTCGGGCAGTTTCCTTGCTGCAAATTCTCTCAACTGGCTGCACAATCTACAGGCAAAGCTCAAACTCTGAAGCCTGCTGTGAAAAGTCTGCCAAGATCTGGCCACCACCTAGCTCTTCAGATGAGTTTCCATACACTCTGTGTGAGCTAACATTGCATTCATAGGAAAATGTGCCTCCCAGCACATACTGCATTGTTTCACCACCAGCTGCCTTCCACCAACTTTCTCCTGCCCTAAAAAATCCCTTTCTTTTTCCATTCTACTCTCTTATTCCTATTTATCTGCCAAGTGTACTCTATCAACTTCCCAGGCAATGTGGAAAACCACACCATGCATGTTTCTCTTGCCCTGTTCCAGGCAACATTGGTCACACCCTCTTCTCTGTGTATTGCTGAACATGAACTGTATGTTTATGTGGCCAGTAGATCAGGATTTCCAAAATGCTAAGATCATCTCTTAGACCCAGGACACAGTAAGTACCCAACAAAGATCCTGCCTGAAAAACAAACCCTTCAACTTTCCCAGACGTCTCACCCCACTCTTTTATCAGCTCTCCTCCCATGGTAGCTCTGCTCTTCATCTCCTACAACTGTCCTTCTATTATCTTCTTTCACTTAGACTCTTCTTTCCTGCCTCATTATGAGAAAAGAAACAGGAGGCACTTGTGGAGTGACAAGAGCCCTAGGCCAAGGTTTCCCAACTTGGGCACTGACAACACTTGGAACCCGATAATCCTTTGTTGTGGGGCTGCCCTGTGCATTGCAAGGGGATTACCAGCATGACTGACCTCTACCCACTCGAAGCCAGCAGCACCCTGCCCGCCAAAATGTCTCCGGACATTGCCAAATATCTCCTGGGTTGGAGGGAGCCAAATGTCCCTTGCGTGAGAAGCACTGTCCTAGACTGACTTTTCGTGGGAAAATCAAGAAAACAACATGGGAGAGCTGCTCCAGAGTCTCCCGTCCTGGCATCCAGGGGCCGAGCAGTGAGGACGGAGGGCCCAGGCCACAGCAGTGCTGCTGCTGCCAGGGGTGCGCGTGGCCGAGGGCAGGCTCCTGTAACATTGTGGGGAACACTGTACCTGTGCTCCCGAGGTGACTTCCCCTTGCCAGAGCTCCAGATTTCAGGATTTATTTGTGTCAGCCCTTCCCTGAACCTCACTTCCTCTATGACCCAGAAATAACCAGCCAGAGGGATTCAGGATACAGTCATTAATAGCTATGAAAGCTTCCTCATACCTTGCTTGGCAACAGTGTTGGGGGGTATTTAAAGAGAAAACAAACACATTGGTTGAAGCATTCAAGGACAAATTATGGGGAGAGGAGCAGGAAGAGAGGAGAAGGATCACACCCACAGCACATAAAATGAGAGTGCTGGCAGTAAGAAAGAGAAAGGGGTTGGGAGGCGGTGGATGGGACAGGGGCTGGTGAGATGGCTCAATGGGCAATCCCCTATCTCCTATATGGAGCTCTGCTTCATGTCCCAGCTGCTCCACTTCTCATCAGCTCCCTACTTGTGGCCTGGGAAAGTGGTAGAGGATGGTCCAAACCCTGGGACCCACATGGGAGACCTGGAGGAAGTTACAGGTTTAGAGGCTTCAGGTTGGCTGAGCTCTGGCCATTACAGCCACTTGGGGATCTTTCATCTTTCTCTGTTTTTCCTTATCTCTATAAACCTGACTTAACAATTAAAAAAAAAAATCTTAAGGAAGGGCCCGAGCAGGGTGTGGGACCCACCTGTGGTGGACACGATGTTTTCGGCGCTCTCACTGCACAGCTTTGACAGCAGACTGGTCTTGCCAGAGCCCGTGAGGCCTATGCAAACCAGGTCATACTCGGGGCGTGCGGGTGGAGGTCCCTTGCAGCACAGTGCTCTAAAACACTGCAAAGACAAGAGAGAAATGGGATTATTTTAAATAACCCTGGGGAAACGGATCTTGATATTTAGCTTGACAACACCAACATGAACAAATAACGTATGGTAAGGGGGAAATAACCTATGGTAAGGAGGAAAACAGTTCATGTTAGGGTGAGGAAATCCAAGTATATCACATGGACCAAGATGCCAAAGTCACCATCCTCATGCCCATACCTACTATCCACCTTTTGGCCTTCCTATCCACCTCAACAGGTGCAGTGGTGTGCACACAACAGTGTGGCCAACAACACACAACCTCAATCTCAGCATGAGCAAAGCAGATAAAGTCAATCTGACATGCATTCCCTGTAAGACATCAGTCTACTCTCTAAAATACCAATGACTTAAAAGCCCAAGAAAGGCCAAAGCACAGTCCTGGGATAAAGAGTCAAGACATAGTCCAGAAGGTGATGCACCATGGATTGAATTCTGGATCCCAAGAGGAAAACGCCGTAAGTCATTCTATCGAAACACAAGGTATAGGCTGCCTACGGGGTGGTGTCAGGCTACATCTTCAGAATTTAATAACTATTCTGTGGTCACATAGGGAAAATTCCTTGTTCTGCAGTAACACACAGTATTTATAGGGGAAGGGTCTTAATGTTCGCCTCTAACTGGCTCTGACCAAGCCTCCATCTCTACCTCCAGTCCCATCAATGCTTTATGAGTTGAGTAGGAAAAGGACAACGACTCATGAATTGGAGTGAGTCTTTGGGAAAACTCCTTTCTTCTGGACTTACAGCACTCACACAGAGCAATGTCTCCTCAGTCTTTGTTTGATTCCACTTCAGGTCAAGTTACTGCTGGTTACTAGGCATGGTAGTACAGTTTGCACACGTCACAAACATGTTTATTCCGCAAGGTTTATTCTCAACCTCATTCCTCACACACAGTAACCCATAAAGCCAAGTCAACTGAAATAGCTCTGAACTCTCTCTAGCATCTGGGTGCCTGTCTCCCACACAGGCCAGCACACCCAGGGTACCATCACATTTTTTCAATGCTGCCAACACATACACTCCTGCCCTCTCTGTTCACATAGCAACCACAGTGACTACATGCTTGAGAAAAGAACATCTGGTCAAATCTAATTTAGCCAGGAGAACCCCTTTTGCTGGACCTGAGCCCTTCCCATGGTCAATAAGGCCTCCACGACCCACTGCAGTCCACCCCATCATCCTTGAGGCCCGGCCTCTTCCTCTCAAGCACCCCCTCCCCACCACTGGCCTGCTGACTAAGTCCCTTCTTCCTTAACTTTGAGTTTCTGCCAACTGCAATTAGCTTTTAGATCTCCCACATCTTCTGGTGTGCTCAAATCCTGAGACAGTGTAGGCAACTCAGGCCAAGCGGTCCTGGCTCTTTTGATGGCATCTCAAGACAACTACAGTTTCTTATTCCTCACCACTCTGTGCCACCCAGGTCTGTCCATCTTTATCCAGGATATTCAGTGCCCGATAGAGAGCAGGGCACAGAAGACACCCTCAGTCACTCATTGCTGAATGCAAAATGAACATGCATTGTCTCTTCAAAAGCCTAACGGAGAGACTGATGCTGTGCTGCAGTAGCTTGAGCCGCAACACGGGACACTCCTGCATTCCACATCCAAGTGCCTGCTTTTTCAAGTCCAGGCAACTTTGTGCAGCTGATCTAAGCTTCCTGCTTACACACCTGGGAGGCAGTGATGACAGCCCAAGAAATCAGAGCTATGTCATCTACAAGGGGAGACCTGGGTCAAGTCTCTGTTTCCTGGATGTGACCCAGCCCTGGCTGTGGCAGGCATCTGGACAAGGAACTAGTGAATGGAAGATCGATTCTCAGTGTCATTCTGCCTTTTAAATAATCCTTTCCTAAAAGATGCATAATACACAACATACAAAGATGCTAACAGGATTGTTTTGTGCTCTGTCTGGGCCTCCCACACTTCAGGAAAATAATGTCAAAATAAGAGAAACCTTTGATATTTTTTCCCCTTGACCACAAGGTTGGAAACTAGCCTAGTTCCAAGAAGAGTGGTTCTGAAGTGAAGGAATTTACTTTCTCAGTGGATTAGAGCTTCCTTTTGTCATCCGCTGCATTTTCCTGAGTTTTTAAGAGGTCCCGTCTACTTCTGCTAGACAATTCTATGATCCATATTCTTCCTGGGTTTATTAAGTTCAAATCATATTTCCTCTCAGCCTTTCAAGCTTGCACGGAGTCCTCATTATTCCAGTCTGCCTTCAGATAGCCACCCCTCCCACGCCTTCATCATATTAGTCGCTCTTCTTTGACCTTACTTTAGTTCCATTATGTCTCCTCTGACAAGATTAATGACCACAACTAAAAGCAACCTTCTAGATGCCAACACACCCCATCCCAGATTTTCATGAAGTCTGGCTCATCTTGTTGGGCATTTTGCAACTGTTTCTTGGATATGTTTTGTTTGAGAGGTAGGAAGACAAAAAGAGACAGGGAGTGAGCTCAAGACAGGCAGAGACAGACAGCATCCATTGCTGGCTCACAGCGTACGCCCCCAACAGCTGCAACTGGGCTGGGGTTGAAGCCGGTAGGCAGGAATGTAATGCAGGCCTCCACCACACACGACAGGAACACGTGATCTATCACTGCTGCCCTACACTCTGGCTCCCCTCCCCTGGGGCCTGCAGGGGTTAGGAGCCAAAGTCTGGGACCGGGCCCAGTTTGTCTAATATAGGATATGGATGTCTTAACAGCCAGGCTAACCATCTGCTCCACGAATTCCTTCTTATCCATGGAAAAGCAAATTTCCCAGCCTTAGGATGAGTCTTCCTCAGAACCAAGTCTCTGTCTTAAAGATAGTCACTGGCTGTCCAGTAACTGTACTATACCACAATGCACAATTGCTCAGCTTCAAGGTCTTCCACATTCAGCAACGACTGGCACCATTGGTCTCACCGTTTTCTCTTGCTGGGCTACTCTGGACTTCGTTGAGGGTACTAGGGAAAAAATTCTCTTCCTTCCCAGGAGACCCCATTCTCAGCAAGAGCTTTGCCAGAATCCTCAGAACTGCCCACCCCATGGGACAGGCACAGCTATCCCAGCCCACAGAACGAAATGACATGTGGCTGACTGCCGTTTCTCCTTGCTTAGATGATTTCTACATCAGCATCACCAATTTGGCCAAAAGTTCCCCAAGAGTCATTTCCATGTCTTTTCTGAATTCCAGGGTGGAAGCATGCAACAGGGCCGAATCACCTGCACACAGACTCCAAGTCCCCTGGGAAAACTGCTGCCATCAGAACAATTTAGCAACAACATTTTTAAAAAAAGATTCATTTATTTTTATTGGAAAGTCAGATATACAGAAAGGAGGACAGATAGAGAGGAAGATTTTCCATCCGATGATTCACTCCCCAAGTGGCTGCAATGGACGAAGCTGAGTCGATCTGAAGCCAGGAGCTTCCTTCCAGATCTGCCCAGGCTTTGGGCTGTCCTCAACTTCTTTCTCGGGCCACAGGTAGCGAGCTAGGTGGAAAGTGGGGCTGTCAGGATTAGAATTGGCACCCATATGGGATCCTGGTGCATGCAAGGTAAGGACTTTAGCCAGGTCCTAGCAGTGACTTTTGATTCCACTCTCTCCTCTTCCTCCCTACTCTCGCAGCTATAATCAAAGAGTGTAACAACAAAACATGACATCCTTCCCCCAATCCCCTAACACCCATCTAAATTCCAGACTCTGCAGTCCCAACTGTTCTGAAAGAACTCAAACCAAATATAAATAAAACAAACCCCACATACATACACAGAGAGAGAGAGAGAACCACTGGTTACAAGGGAAGGAAATAAATGTATCTGGGAACGTGAAGGCTAGCTAGACAGTTATCCCAAGAGGGAATCTGGGGGAAAAAAATCCAAGTGTCTCTGAAATACATGTTTCAAAAAGATAACAAACCAATAAATAAACCCCCTGGCTAACAGGAATTGTGCCCGATTTTGAGCAAGTGAAATAAAACTTTTAACAGAACGCTACTTTAAATGGGGGAGGACAGTGCATGCATTTGGAGCCAAATCCTAAAAGCTGTACAGTTTGCATTGGCTTTTTGTTTTAAAACTTAATGAAGCTTTGGATCTTATAGTCAATTTACTTAAAATTACTCACTTTGGCCTCTAGACTATACTGTACCAAAGTTCATTGTGCGTGTCTCCTACAGCAGCTCCCGCATTGTTAAGGGTAAGCCCTTTTCACCGCTGTACAATGAGCAACACAATGCTGTCGGCAGCCCTGACAGCAAGCCGCAAACTCAGGCTGCATTCCCAGGCCAGACACTAAGGCATTGTATAGCTCTGCTCAAGCCCCATAAACCAAGCCCTGGGCTCCAGCTTCCCGTGATTAACTAGTCACGTTTCAGTACTATCTGCAGTCTCCCTTCTGCAGGAGGATGGGGGAGGCAGGGCTTCAAGGCCACACACTCCTAAGAAAAGTGCCTAATGGGTCAGTAACTGTAAGTGTGATGCTCATCTTCCCCAGGTATCTTACAGTGACAGCTGGCTGCCCAGGCAAGGCTCTGGCAGTACGCAATGCAGAAGGTAGCACCTCCCTGACCCTTCGCCTACAGTGGCCTCCGAGTGCTCCAGCCTTTCCCAGTTCAACCAATACACCAAAGAAGTATGGCCACCAGCTCTCACTGGCAGCAGGAATGCCAGAACAGAGCCAGTATGAACTCTAACTACACCCTCTGGGCGGGCAATCAAGATGACTTCAGTTTACAAGTCTTTTTTGTTTTACACAGGACCAGTGATGACTTGTTTTTTAAAAACAAACACACAAACAAATAACAACAACAACAAAAGAACCCCAGCAGTTTACCTGCAATATTCTATCAGGACAAAACATGTTTTTCCAAGGATATGCCCACAGGTGCCCTCAAAGTTGTACATGAGAGAACAACATGTCAAGGTGTTGGGAGAGGGTAAAGATGGTAATGGCTGACATGTAAACTTTGGTAACT